AGATGAAGCATGTCGGATGGCCTCGAAGCACATCGGATGGCCTCAGAAGCTCTTCTCCTTTGTAAACGGCACGTGATCTTGGAATTACACTTCGCCTCGGAGTTACACCTTCTCACCGACATCACACTACTACCGACCTGCTACGATTTCCTGACTGACCAGGCTTCTCGCTATCTTACCATTGCCTACCGACACTACCGCCCACCTCGGATGTAACCGAGTTTATCAATACCCAAGCAGACGACCAGGTGCCTACGCAACCTCCTTACGTTTCGTGTCCAACGTCATGATGATCATGGGCCCAACTGACCCAACCGCCCATTTAAAGCTACTTTTCGTACAAATCCTAAATGATTAAAGACCTCGAACAATGTGTACTATAAAATTTACTATATATAGCTGATAACTCCCTCAGTAGAAAGGGGGGACACTCTGTACCACTTTCATCTCAATTAAGAACACACCGACCATTCACCAGTCAATAAAATCTCATATTATTACTATCTACTGCGTTAATCTATATCACATACATATTAATTATGTTGTTACAAATCCATACGACAACAAAACTCTAGATCTTGAAACAAAACAGAATAGTCTATTGTCATGGAAGGTGCAGCCGTATCTTCAGTAGTTTGGAAAGGATTACGACTGGTTCTAACTTTTGAATTTCTTTCTTGACGCCCAGAATTTGTCATGGTGACTGCTATGAAGATTGTTTGGCAGATATGTATTTTTCTTATATAGTATGTCGAAGATTAACCTCAAATAACTTATGAGGCCCTTCTTCTAGCGCCAAACTGTTGTTGTATGAAATTTAACAACTCAAATAGGTAAAAGCAAGGTGTATTTAAAGGAAAATTAATGTAAATTTCTTTGATTATTGATTGTTTCACAAGAGTACAGAAAGTCGGTTTTTGTAAGTAACCGAGATGTTTTTATAGTCCAAGTACAATGTGTCGAAAAAGATCCTTGTACAATCATAAATTCCGCTATCTATAGTACGGTAATTTTGTCTTTTTGTCCGAGGTAGATTAGATCGTATTTAATGTTGAGCAGCTTCAATAAAGCGGCGTGTAATGCAATGAGGGAACATCAATGATTATTATTTAACTTGATGGTTCAATCAAAAGTGTTATTCGCTACCTGCTTTGGAATTCAATCATCTTGGACCTCGGTTTGAATGGATAATCTTCAATAGAAATGTCTGTGAGGTCAGTTTGTTTGTCTTTAATGTGAAGTCGGTCTTGGGGTTTGGCGATAAGTCGGTTATCACTTCAGTTGTCCAAAGTCGGTTGTTGTCTAGTTGCACCGAGTTGGACTACGTTTGTCGCTAGAAATGAATTTAAAGGACCATTTCGAAGATAACATGATTGATTCTTTAATTAATTTTGAATAATCAAGTCGGTCATCAATAGTTCTCTACGTCAAACCTTTAGATCTGTTGCGCATAGGTTTACGTTTGCTATTGAATTTGTGATTTGTACATAACAAGATCCTCACAGATCCCAACAAGCCCTACACACATTTTGGTGCAGGAGGCTGGCCAATTGGAAAAGCGTTCGGAAGCACGGGTGTTTGTTGGCTATCCTAAGGGAAAGAAAGGTGGATTATTTAATCGTCCCGAGGATCAGAAGGAGATCGTCAGCACGAACGCTAAATTTTTTGAAGAAGACTATAATATGAACCACAATCCCATGAGTATAATTATATTAGAGGAGTTGAGGAGTGAAGTCGAAAGTTCCCTACCGAGTGCGCAAGTAGATAAATCACATAATACTGCAACACGGCACACTGAGCGTGTACTATTGCAGACAATACCTTGTCGTAGTGGGAGGGTTGTTATACATCCTGATCGATATATGTTCCTTGGAGAGTCATCCGGCTCAATTCCAGGTAAGCTGGATTCGGACCCTAGGACCTATGACGACGCACTCTGAGATAAAGATGCAGTATCATAGAAGGTTGCGATGAAAGCTGAGATGGGGTCAATGGACTCCAATCAGGTTTGGAATCTTGTAGAACCACCCAAGGGGGTACGACCCATTGGATGCAAGTGGGTCTACAGAAGAATGAGAGGATCGGATGGGAAGGATGAGACCTTCAAGGCTAGGCTTTTTACGAAAGGTTACACTCAGAAAGAGGGGATCGATTATGATGAGACCTTTTCGCCAGTAGCCATGCTCAAGTCCATTCAGATTCTTTTGGTTGTAGCCGTTCATATGGATTATGAGGTTTGATAGATGGATGTCAAGACAGCTTTCCTTAATGGAAACCTTCAGGAGGACATCTATATGCAGGAACTAGAGGGTCTCATAGATAAGGGTCATAAGCATCTAATGTGTAAGCTTAATCAATCCATTTATGGACTGAAGCAAGCTTCGAGGTCTTGAAATATCTAGTTCGATGAAGTGATCAATCGTATGGGTTCACTCAATGTCCGGATGAGCACTGTGTGTACAAGAAGTGCAGTGAGAGCGTGGTGGTGTTTCTTATGCTTTACGTAGACGACATACTTCTTATTGGTAACAGTAAGGAGTTGTCAGATGTAATGGAATTGTTGTCTAAGCAGTTTGATATGAAGGACTTAGGTGAAGCAGGACACATTCTTGGTATTAGGGTAATTCGGGACCGTAAGAAGTGAAAGTTTTGCTTATCCCAGTCTAAATAAATAGATACTGTCTTGGCCAGATTCACCATGCAGTATTCCAAGAAAGGTTTGTTACCTTTCAGACATGGAATAGCTCTATCCATGGAGATGTCTCCTAAGACACCTCAAGAGATAGAGGACATGAAGATAGATCCTTATGCCTCAGAAGTAGGAAGTCTCATGTCGCCGTGGGCATGGTAGCTAGATATCAAAGTAATCCCGGATGGGAAAATTGGACTGCGGTGAAGCATATACTCAAGTACCTGCAAAGGACTAAGGAGTACATGTTAATTTAGACAACTTGTTGTCGCTTGGTTACAGTGATTCCGACTTTCAGTCAGACCAGGACGAGAGTAAGTCAACCTCAGGTATGTGTTTGGGAGGTGGAGCCACATCATGCAGGAGTGCTGAGCAGAAATGCATAGCAGACTCCACTAATGGTTCGTCGGTTGTGCCTTGGCCCGGGTCCGGTCGGGTCTTCGAGGTTCGATGATCCTTTGTGATCTCTCGATCATCATCAACACGATCACAACACGAAAAATATAATTTACAAAAATTACATAATTCGATCCTAGATCCAACGAATGGATGTACATGTTTTCTAAATAAATAATTAAGTCTATTCGGTCAACCCCTGAGCTAATAATTATTACAAACATTTATCCATTAAATTCCTCGACATGTACAAGGCTTTAAAAACAAATTAAAACCATTCATCACATTAAACAACATTCATCAAACACATATATGGTCATAATAGTGGATTAAACTAATTCATGCAAAACTGAGTAATGCGAATATAATCCAATATGTATGGTTGCATTTGAACGAATCTTGCCAAATAAAGTCATAAAAATTCAAACCTTGTACAATACAAATTAACCGAGTGCTCTGATAACACATGTTAGGATCTATGAGGATCACGTTATGTACAAGTCACGAATTCAATAGAAAACGTAAACTTATGCGCAGCGGATCTAAAGGTTTGACATAGAAAACTTACGGCTTAAAATTTTCTGAATCTGACGAATTCGGGATGACCGGGAGCAGCACATCACGGGGTACCCGGGATCACGAACGGTGGTGGGATCGACGGCCGTGGAGCTGCGGTGGTCGCCGGCGGGATCGCAGTGGTCGGGCGATGCAAAGACGAGGCGGGCTTGTGGCGTCTGGCTTGGCTCCTCGTCGCCGCGGTCGTTCGGTGCCTGGTTGGGCGGGTTGCGGCGGCAGGTCGTGGCTCGTCGGCTCCAGAAGATGATCACGATGTCTTGGTTACCTAGGGATTTTCTATTGTATTGCTAGTACACCTCTTCAACCCGTACCGTTGGAGCAACGAGAAGAAGATAAAGCTCGAATGTGACCTAGAGGGAGAGAGAGGAGGCGTGCGTGTGATATACACGTTTCTTGTTTTCATTGTTGGATGAGGGCGTCATACTCAGCGTTAGGCTGAGGATTGTTACGCTGGCCGGGTAGCTTGTGAACCCACTCAGGTGAGATATCAAAGGTATTGTGCGGTGGACGGAGAAAGTAAAATTTGTTTTTTTTCCAGTTATGCACTTTTGATTTCGGTTGGTCAAGAAAATAGGCGTTGTGACGAGTGGATTAATAATACGAGGTGCCGAAGGGTTCCATCCAAAGGCAATAAAAGAATAGCTCGGGGTCTAGCCAACCCAACCTAGCTCGGCAAGCCATAATAAAGCCTACAAGAAACCTAATGGTATTAGGCGAGAAATGATTTATTTGTAAACGATATAACTTGGTAAGCTCTATAAGGTCGTCACGTAGGGAGAACCTCAGCCCGACAGCAGCTTGGTCGAGAAAGAAGGTATAAAAACCTAGTGGTGGATTGGTGTAAGGATTTCTAGATTGGGGTATTTTGAGTTCTCAGCCCCGGGGGAGCTCGACCTCTTCAATATTTTGGCTATCCTATCAGTTGAGTAGGAGGCAGGGGGATTGGGACGTGTCGTGCTAATGGTAGGGGTAACCCCCTTGGCTTTATCAGCTGCGTTAGCCGAGGTGGGGGTGGTCGCGCCTGTCGACGCTGGTAAAGCCAGGGTCACCGACGGCTCACCTATGGATTCTGAGTTCGAAGGGGAATGGTTTTTGTGTTAGTCGAAGCGACTAGACGATCTAATATGATGAAAGACGGCATGAAAAATCTCAAACGACGATAATAATGTATGCAATGATAAGCAAGAATAAAGTAAAAATCTAGCCAAAACAGTGCTACGTACCCATAAAGCTGTTGGACATGGTGACAAAGATGGAAGATCGTTGGCCTTGCGCGAGCAGTTCGTCGGAGCAAAAATGCGGTTGCTGGGTTTTCAATAGTAGAAAGAGTTGCAAAATAATGGTAAGAGATATGACAAGGACAGATCTGTTATTTATATCTGGCGGAATGAGGAAGGTCAGCCCATCGTGGCCATCCATTCCAAAATGCATCGTACAAATCGCTGGCGTGTGCTGGAAGCCTGGAAAGTTCATAGGTCATCTAATCATGACCGTCTGCTGGGCAGAGATGGGCAACGAGATGTGTGATGTGATGTCTGAATTTTGAGGTATGGGTAATCATTATGTTCAGAAAATGTGCGACCTGCGACATGCGGGGAGTGGAGCTACGTCTTCTCATACCGATAAGACGAGCTCACTGGGTGGCATCACGTGCCGAGGTTAGGTAACAAGGGGGTTAGCGCTACTCGCCTCGCATAATTAACAATAATTTCTGGGCCAATTTTTGGGCCGACCTGCGATAGATCGTCCTCAAAATTGGGGGGGCTAGATGAAACGACATAAGATAAGATGGCGCAAAGGGCATGAGTGCAAGGCAGAAGTTCAACTCGACACTGAGGTTTATGAACTTGTCAGTGAAAGATGAAGAGGGGTTGAGTTAAACTCATCTGCTAATGGGGTCGAGCTTGGAGGATGAGCACGGCAGGCGTTTGTAGGTGTTTGGGACTCTGAAAGTTAGAGCATGGTTGCTATGAGGTGAGCTCTGCAGATTAAGCGACAGGGTCGAGCTTGGTATTAAGCCCGGCGTATATCGAAAGACCTAGAATCAAGACGTAGCTACTACAAGAGCTCAGACTAGCGAATAACTAATGTCCTTAGCCCGAGGATAGCCGAGTTGACCAGCGGGGCGGTTTGCTACCGTGACATAGCGTTTCCGTGTGAATGATGGAGTCCGATTCCTTGTGATTAGTGGAGTTGGAATTAACTAGGATTATGAGGTTCTAGATGAGATACGCGTTGTTGAGAGATAGATGCAGAGATGACACTCGGCTATATAAGGGGACAAGTTTCTTTACTTTTAAACAACATACATATACACGAACACGCATTATCTCGCTATTCTGTTGTTTTCTCTTAAGTATCCTACTGACTTAAGCGTCGGAGGGCCGCATCAGGACCCCCTTCCGATGTGTTTCACAGGTAACCGGCGATCCAGGAGACGCAAAACCGTATCAAAAGGAGCAATCCGACGGTTCGAGGTTTTTTGGCGTGTCAGAAAATATAGTAATAAGAGTTAAATAAGTTAGAATGAAATTTCACTACATAATCGTAATACAATTGTCTTAAAATATCATTGTCATACAGAGATAGTTGAATGCTAATAAGCTCTGTTAGTCCCGGAATTTATGCATAACTAGTATTCGACCATGTGCATTTGCACAGATGTAAATAAAATATTATACATTATTTGTATGCATATAATAATAAAATTATAAGTTAGATATGATATTATATTTTAAACATAGTGTATTATAAGTTATATTTATTTATATAATATTGCAATTATAAATTAGATAATGGTATTATGTTTTAAAATTTAATCATTGGTTAAACTAAATAGTATATAACGATTTGATTGCATATGAATCACTATATTGATTGCATAAAATGTAATAAATAACGTAACTTGGATAATGAGCCATGTACTCCATTCCCTGCCATTGTCTAACAGTAGGTCTTTAACCCAGATAAGATGGTCCCTGGCTAATTCAATTAATTGAGGAGAAAGTTTGGGAAGAGTGGGAACCCAGTTGAAGTCAGCAATCCTAGTGTTAACCCCATTCCTAATTTCAATTTTTAGCCACTGAGAAAAGATAGGCATCATATCCATCCAAGAATTCCACAACCAAGACCCATTTTGACATTTATCAGTATGAACAATGGATTGATTTGGGAAGTACCTGTCCTTCAAAACTCTGCTGACTAAGAGTTGAGGGTTGGTTGTAATCCTCCATAGTTGTTTGCAGATTAAGGCTTGGTTGAACAATCTAAAATCCAGAAACCCTAGACCTCCTTGCAACTTAGGAAGAGCCAGAAGAGTCCACTTTTTCCAGTGAATGCCAAAGGATTCCTGATTTCCTGATTTCCACCAAAACTCAGCACATAACTTAGCCAATTCTGAGCGTAGAGTAAGGGGAATCTTAAAACAGGACATTGTAAATATAGGAAGTGCTTGCACCACAGCCTTGAGTAACACCTCTTTCCCAGCAGAGCTAAGCAAATTTGTTTTCCAGCTGGTCAGTTTGGCTTTGAAAGAGGTAAGAAGGTAATCAAAGACTTCTTTCTTTGACTTTCCATTCAAAGTGTTGCAGGTAAGGTGCTGAAGCTCCAAAGGAGTATTTTTACTGAAAAAGGCAGCAGATTTCTGTAAATTGACTTGTTGACCAGAAAACAGCCTGTATTGCTCCAACAAGTTCAAAAGAACAGTAGCCTGATCCACCCCTGCTTTATAGAAAAACAAAGAATCATTTACAAATAATAAGTGTGTCAATGCAGGCCCATTCCTGGATAGCTTAAGACCTTGCAAATGACCTTTGTTACAGGCATCAGAGATGAGTGCAGATAGGAGTTTAGTCACAATTATGAATAGATAGGGGGACAAAGGATCCCCCTGTCTAATCCCTCTAGATGGTGTGACATAACCACTAACTCTATCATTCACTTTGAAAGAAAAGGTTGCAGAAGACAAACAGACCATTACCAACTTCACAAAATCCTGATGGAACCCCATTTGCAACATAATTTTCTTAAGGCATATCCACTCTACTCGGTCAAAAGCTTTGACTAGATCAAGTTTGAGAGCCATAAAATAATTCCTACCAGATGAATGCCTGTTAAGATAGTGAAAAGCTTCTTGTGCAATGATACCATTGTCTAAAAGTTGTATTCCCTGGACAAATGCTGATTGGTGATCATTAATGCACTAATTTAAGAAACTCTTCAGTCTTTGAGCAATAATTTTAGATAGGACTTTGTAGACTACACTGCACAAACTGATCGGCTTAAATTGGCTGAGAGTTTTAGGATTGGGACATTTGGATATGAGGGACAGTACAGTATGGTTCCAGTATTTTAAGAGCATACCAGTTTGAAAAAAACTCAGAATAGCTGCCAATAGATCATCCTTGATGAGAGATCAGAAGTGCTGATAAAATGATGCACTCATACCTTCTTCACCTAGAGCTTTGTCAGGGTTGAGGCTGAAAAGAGCTGTCTTGACTTCTGCTTCTTCCACTTAAGGAGATCTGCATTAATATCAGAAGTGATTGTTGTGGGAATCAGTGGAAGCAGACTATCCCCACCCCAACTTCCTTCTGAGAAGAACGAGTTGTTGTAAAAGTCAGCAATGTGATCTTCAATGTCCTTCTGAGTGGTGAATGACTGGCCTCTGAAAGATAGCAGTCTTGTGATAGCATTATATCTTCTTCTTTGAAGAGTCAGAGCATGAAAAAAATGTGTGTTGGAGTCTCCATCCTTCAACCATTTCAATCTGGACTTTGTTGCCAGAACAATTCTTCATGCTTGTGAGCCTTTTCGAAATCTCTTCTAGTGGCTTCCCAACATTCCCATTGACTGCCAGATTTATCTTGATTAAGGATTTGAAGCTTGTTGGTGAGGTTTGAGATAAGAGCTTGGTTCTGAGTTTGGAATTTGGAGCTCCAAATAAGAGGAGTTGTTCTAACTTTCTTGATCTTTTCTTTGAGTTGGTAGAAGGGGGTTCCTGAGCATTCAATACTCAAAGCTGTCTGCACTGTTTCTTCAAACCCTTATTTGCCTATCCACCTTTTATCAAAGTGGAATCTCGTTTTCTTTCTTTCTCTTGGAATGCCATAATCCAGAATGAGAGGAGTATGATCTGATGCACTTCTGATAAGATTAAATACTAAAGTATTAGGATAAGTTTGCATCCATTCTGGAGATCCAAAGGCTCTGTCCAGATACTCTTCCACTAGGCCTTGATTAGCTCTATTATTGCACCATGTGAAGGGGTATCCTTCCAACTTGATTTCCTCCATTTCCATCTCATTAATGAATAAATTGAAACTTTGGCAACTGACAGGATTTCTGGGACTTCCTCCTGCCTTTTCAGCATTTGATCTTATTTCATTCCAGTATCCAATGGTAAACCAGAGATCTCCCTATGATGATTTATCTATCACAAATTCCCGCCACTGGTCAACTCTCAAAGATTTACAAGCATTAAAGTACACAAAAACCCCCCATTAAACAGCCTGGGAGTTATATTGAAATTGAACAGCAATATAAAAAGATTTACAAATACAGTTCAGAATTTGAATCTGGGGATCCCAACAAAGAAGAAAGCCCCCACTAAGACCTACTGGATCAACAACAGCTAATCTATCTACATAACCCAACTTTCTACCTACAGACTTAACAAATGCATTTTGCTTTTTAGTTTCAGAAAGAAAAAGAAAAAGAGGGTGGTGAGTTTTCATTAACTCTCGAATTTGGGAAATTGTTGAGGGCCCACCCAACCCTCTACAATTCCACACCACAGGTAACATTGATCACTCGGGTGCCATTCAAGGCTTGCAACCCCTACCGCTTCAGAAGTAGCTTTGAGTTTTTTAGAAGAAACCTGGTTGGAGACAGTGTTGTCTTCTACTGGTTCAGTTGTCTCTTGTATTCGCCTGTTCCTTTTTCCTCTGACCAGTTGATCAATGATTATGGGAACCTCAGAAGCTCTTTGCAATCTTCCCATTTTGGTCCCAGCTCTTTTCCATGTTTTCAGAGCATGTGGCTTAGTGACTACAAAGGTTTCATTGGTAGAGTGAATAACTGGAAGAGCTGATATGTCCCCCTTCTCAATGTCCATAATGGCAGGCTCTATTATCTGTAGGGGAAAATCTGCAGTGTCTTCCGGGTTTGTAGTATTTTCATTAGAAGAGTATTGTGAAGTGTGGCCCAAGGATTTGGCTGGTGAGTGAGTTTTTTCCTGGCTTGCCACTAATTGATTATTAAAGTTCTGCTGACTTGAAGAAGTTCTTTGAGATTCTACATGAGCATTTCTTGTTGGTGACTCTGGTGGTGGACATGTTCTTGAGCTTGAAAGGCTAACTGGTGACCATTTGTAACCATCAGCAACTCTCATCCAATCCCCATACTGACCCTCTTTGAGTGAATTGTTGCTGAGGTCCTCTATATTTTTACTGCAACCCCTATCTAGGTGTCCAATCTTACCACAGTAGTGGCATAGATTCATCAGTTTTTCATACTTGAACCTTACATTCACAAGCTGCTCCCCCAACCTGACTTTAGCCACTCGAGGTAGGGGATCATCAACATCTACAATAACAAGAAGCCTGAGTAGCTTACCTCCATGGTTGCTTGTGGTAGCTATGACTACATTCTTAAGATTCTTGAAGGCCTTGCCTATCTTGAGTCCCACATCTGTGCTAATCCAGTTGAGTGGAATGTCCTGAACTTGAACCCACAGGTTAAGTTCTTTAGAGCTGTGGTGTTTGCTATTGAGATTAGTCATCCATTCTTTGAGAATAATATATTGATTCTCGAAGCTCCAATTGGTTCCATTTGCAACTTTTTTCATGTCCTCCTTGCATTGAATATAAACTGAAAATAGTTGGGACTAAGTTCCTTTATCTCCATTGGTTGTCTAAGGCAAATCTAGGACATAGCACGTTTTATTCGAATCCAACTAGCCGGCCTGTCTCCTATAATTTTGCCGAAAAGGCTCCTTTGACATTCATCATCACTGACTTTTATGTCGTCTTGAGCAATATCGAAGATAATGGCTTCCTTTTCAGAAAGGGAGAAATCCTTTAGTCGATCAGAGAGATTTTCTTCAAGGGGCGGTGAATGGGATCGATCCATAATAACCCTAAAACCCCAAATTGGGGCGATGAATACCGAGAGGGATGAAAAATAACTAGACGAGCCGACAATGGAAAAGGATAAGGGATGCTGATTAACGATAACTAAGAACAATTGATGCGAACGAGGAAGATGACCAGAAAATCAAAGCTCTCAGAGAGAGAATCGTAGCTCGCAGAGAGAGAATTGTATTTTTGGTTTAAAATACATAAATTACATGTGTATAAAAAATACATATAAAATAATATTTTTTATATATTTTCTGTAAAATACATATTTGACCCATAGGCTAAATAGCAATATAATTAAACCTTTCAAAAAATTGAGATTGACCCCATGGTTTTAT